TGTCTGTCTGTCTGTCTGTCTGTCTGTCTGTCTGTCTGTCTGTCTGTAAATTTTTGGGTGTTTGGTTAACTGTGTATGTGTGCGTGCGCTCAGGTGGAATATGTGGAGGGGACGGCTCTGGTGCTGGGTTTTGAGGACCCCATGGTTCGGACCGACGACACTCCAGTGAAGCGCTGCCTACAGACCAGGTGGCCCTACATCGAGCTTCTGTGGACCACCGACCGCTCCCCGTCACTGAACTAGCACCGACACAGTCTGTGTGTGTCCGTGGATGGACCACTACTGCTCCACACAGTCCTCTCCGACTTCCTCTCTGCGCACTGACCCTGAAAGGTCAGCAGGTTTCGACTGACACACATATACATATACAGATGAATGAGATGGAGGAAAAACACAAATGCCCACAATAGACTGAGACGAACACATTCATGGACTTAACATACTTGCCTGAGATCCTTTTTTCGATCCTCACTCACATATTCCACAAACAAACACACCTTTACAGTTCATGCTATGGTCTTCAGCATGGCTTATATTTGACACACATACTGTTGATGATGTAATTATTTAAAAGAAGAAAAAAAAAAAAAAAAAAAAGTGACTGTTTATTTTACTGCTCTGTCCCGACACCTCTGCTACAGTTAAGCAGTAGACGAACTGGAGAGCGAACTGGTTTGGTTCAACGACTTAAGTGTGTCACCACAACCCACGCTGAGCCACTTGTACAGCCAGTCGACTGTAAAGCACTACTGTTAATCCAGCTATAGGACTGTTTGAGGGGAAAAATCTACCAAAGCCTTCCACGTTTGAGAACACATTCACACCGTCACACTCACAGATAAGCGTTTACAGCGTAAAAGGGACCAACCCAGACGCATAGAACAAAAGGTTTCTTTATTGTTTTCACTGAGATGAAGCTGGTTTAGGTGCTCTCTCTGTGTGTGTGCGTGCTTTGTGCACCACACAAGGATGTTGGCCAAGTGTTCATGTATTTATTATCACACTCAAAGGTTCTGGAATAAACTTTTTTTTGTTCAAATGCTGTGTGATTTGGTACCTTTTTTTTTAAAATCATATATGTCCTCCTCTCTGTGTGTTTTTCTCATAAATATCCTGACATTGACATAAGACAACCTCAGGTTTAGGATGGCCACGGTCTTTCTGGTTTCCTCAACACTAAATCACACACCATCACATGTTTTGTGTCCCCAGAGACTCTAAATCAGTAATTCACTAAATCTCCAAGACACTGGTGGTGACTTAGCGTGCCTTTGTATAACCGGAAAATATTCCTCCTAAGAAGGAAAAACTCCATGATTCTGTTTGCTCGTCATCAAAATTCCCCAAAAGATGAAATATTGGCCCTTTTTATAAGGCATCCTATAAAAACAGTGGCATGTCTGGCATGTGATTCTGTGTGATATTAAGTAGCCACTCAAGACAAGTGGCACGTGTTATAGGAAGAGTACTTTATACCATTTAATTGCCTTGTTCTGGCTCAGCAGTTTTTATGTTTATGCATTTTGTGTTTGTGTATCTGCAGATATTCTGGCTCCAGTATGCATCCCTGCACATGAGTGTTGTAATATTGGCTGGGTGCGTGTCTAATGGATTTGTCTAATGCAGAAAGGATGTGGGCCTAATCTGACACAACAATCTGCCTAACAGTCTCAGGAGTTTGTAAAGAGAGACGTGGGCACAGTGCGTAGAATAGAAAGCGCTACTGTGCGGGTGCAACCATCAATCCAGGCGGACCTGCAGTAAATCAGTGATTGGAACACATTGGCAGACTGACGGGACTTAACCTGAACAGTATGTCTGTGTAAATGTGTGTATTCCTGGAAATGGGATGTCTGTGAGAATTGTATTGAATGTGAGACTGGAGAAAAGGATTACAGATGAAAGCGTGCACACACTGAAACTGAGCTGCATTAAAACATGTTACCTGGCTTCTGGGAAAAGCCACACTGAAGCCAATTGGGCCAAAAGAACAGGAATATGTCTGCTGCCGCCTCACTCCATCATCACCATTTCTTTTTTGTATTTTTCCTCCTGTGCTCATGTGTTTTTTTTCCCCTCTCTTAATAGATTTACATAGACACAGTTGAGACAGAACAGACCCTCTCCCTTACTCACTCTCACTCACACACACACACACACACACATGTCATTGTTGCACAAAAGGGGATCAGGTAGATGTGACAAGGTGAACCAAGTTTGCACAAATTAAATGAAACAAAGGAAGGAGACGGGGTCACTGGAAGGGATTGACGGAATGATGAATTGCTGGATGGATGGAAGGACATGTGTTGAAGGAGGAGAGCCGGGCAGGTGGAGGGTATGGAGGTGAGACGCTCCATCTGGCAGGTCAAGGTCTTCTCACTCTTTACCTCACCTTCTCACCTGGTTCCTATCAACTCTGCTGACAGAAAACACACCACTGACTGTGGTACTGCTCCACTGCAGTCTTAAAGTGAGTCTGGTGGTGAAGATGAATTAATCTCGAATGTGCCTATTAGTTTAAAACACCTCTCTTCCCAATACACGCGCAGAGTTTTTGATAAGAAAAATGTTCCGAAGAGTGAATATACAAAATAACTGCCTGCTCTGGCCCGTCACTTCTTTATTAAACTGCATGTTTTCATTGCAGGATATTAATTTCAGCAAGAGCGAAGTAGGCCTATGTCACATCGGATGTTTAAATCGCCTGGTGTTGAGTGAGACGGTTAGCGGGCCCAAGCTGCTTAAACTTGCACGGCTCAAGAGCTTTCTGCTGTAAACCGACATAATAATTACTGACTTAATTAGAGAGGGATTATTCCCAACGGAAAGAAATGCAGGTATGGTGGAACAAAGTGGCCAAAATAAAGTAGAATGTGGTCTAATTGATTACAAATCTTTGCATTTACGCGCAAAGTCGCTACCTGCGTATTTTTCCTGGACTAATTTGAGCGTGTGGTTGTAAATCTCACTTTAATATTATTTATTGTTTCAGGCTGAAGCTCTCAATTCGCCGCAGAAAATTTGCCTGTGCCATAAAAGGAGTGGTGACGTGCCTGTCCCGTTGCGCGCTCAGATGTGGTCTGTGCCTTGTAATGTGTGTGCGTGTGTGTGTGTGTGTAGGGGGTAAAGTTTTGTGCAGAGGGCGGGGGCGGTGCAGTGTAGTCTTGTAGCTGAGACTCTGAACAGACCTGGTGGTTTCAGGGTGTCAGGAGGCAGTTTTGGGGGAGCGCAGCGATCAGTGACAGCCAGTTGGCGGACTTAACCCGGGACAAACCTACCTCACCTGGACCGAGTAAACTCTCTCTCTCTCTCTCTCTCTCTCTCTCTCTCTCTCTCTCTCTCTC